AGCTTGTATAGATGTATGTTTCACTGCAGCCGTTTGTTCAATCCGTTTGTTCGAGTTTGAGCTAAAAGTGGGCCTAAGCTTCTACTACAACCTTTGGGACAGTGACTTGGGGTCACAGAGTTTAAGAGCCTAAATTCTCCGTTCATGATGCCTTCACATACGTTTTCGGTATGCATTGGCTACATCTATGACCTCTATGGGGGCCTGTGGGTCCTCAGAAGCTGTGGTAAAAAAAGACTCTTGGATCAGAACCCACAACAATCTGCTACAGAAAAAGCACAAGAAAGATTGCGATGATCATGATGATGTCAGAAGTGTACGACTGGCCCACGGAAAAGAATGACTTGGACCAAATCTAGTAGATGTCCTGAGTTTGTTGAAATTTGACGCGCAGTGAGGTGCAGTGCCCCCCAACAAACAAGCTCCACCAGAAGGGATACCCAATATGAGCAAATGAAAAAAATGAATACACAAGGGAATTGTTGTTAGTGGCTCACTGAATGTTGGATCTTGATTTGTCAAGTGCTTCTTTGTCATGTCCTTTTAGTGTTCTTCCAAATAGACAACTCCTCGAATATGTTTGGCAGCCGCACTTACCATCGAAGCTGCCCGCAATTGTTTGCTGGAGGGGGATGATGTTGACAAATCAAGCCTACACTGTCCAAACATCGACTGTCCTATGCATGTACATAATTATATATAAGAATTGTATCTAGCCTATATATCCTAACTAACCTTCCAAGACCCTTACAGTAAACACGAAAGGTTGACCAGGTTTGGAAGTCTACAACCCTTAGTACAACCAACGTTTGTTCAGAAAAATAACAAACACCCATCAACCAATTTCTCCTGTGCCGGCACGGACTCCATATGCCTAGGGCAATATGGAGATGTCCTTCTTGGAGTCTTCCTGGGGGGAAAAATCAACAATTCTCAAACTCCATGGGACTGTCATAGATGCCGCCCCATTGACTCCTCTGGCACCACCCCCAATCTAGGGAAATATGCCAGTCCCAGGTCCAGGTCGTGTCTTGGGATGTATTCGACCGACCCTTTTTCCACCGACCCTTCGTTGTGACTGCGGGTTGCACCAGGTGCTCCGGTCGTCACCAGGTGCGTCGACTGCGTCGGGTCACGTGATCTTCAACGACGCCAGCGCTCAGAACGTGGTCCTCTTCGATCGCGCTGGGGTGGTGGCGATGTGTGGCTCGGCCAGGTGGTGGCGATGTGTGGCTCGGTGGGCAGGTTGAACTGGGCCGTTCGAGCCGGAGAAGCCGCAGAAGCCTTCCATTTCAGTCACAGTGCAGCAATGTGTTCATTTTGGGACATTTGGCAAGCTATGGGAGGTGAAATATGCGAACTTGGCTGATGAGGAGCGGAGAGAAAAGGTATGAAAAGGTAAAACCAGGCCCTGGCTTCCTCGCTCCAGTTCAAGGCTACTGTGGGGTGGCAGATGCTGCTGGTGATTGCTTGCGAGAGGGTGGACAGTCGTCACTGGACGGCACTGAGCCGTCTTTGTCCCGGACAAGATGGATCACCTGCCCACCCTGTTTGGGCTTTTGCGGTCGGCACCATTGTCCCGCGGTTCCCATGGTTCTTCCGGGGACGTTTTCATGGGCGAAAAAGGTGGTTGCATGGGCGAATCGCTCGATTCATCGGTGGCTGGCTGGCGGATTTTTTTCTTTTTTGTTCTTTTCTGCATTTCATTTGTTTTCATTGAGACTCGTGATCCTGAGATTTCCGAGTCAGCCTCAATGCTAGGTTGCCAGGTGGAAAGCTTGCTTCACCTTTACTGGGAAACGGCTCGGGAGTAAGGGATGGCATGGAACATTGGGACCGGCTCGCGACGCTGCGACGCTTTTCTGGGGCCGGGAACATAGAAACACCACGTGGTTCGGAACAAGACCTTTTTGGACTCCAGTCCACGCCTTGACGACCCATGGCTGTGAGTCCAACAGAAGTAGGACCCTGGCTGAAAAACCATCACCGAAACTACGAAAGGGAACCGGGTATCGCTCATCAAGCACACATGAACAATGCGAATAGCACGGAACCCATGGATATATGATTGATCCGTGCTCCATCATGTTCTTTCATGTTGCCACTCTTTGGCTGTGGATCCGTTCTCCAAAGCACGACGGGATGTATCAGGTCTTTCTTTAGAGTCATACTCCTCGTGTGGCTGTGGGTCCTGCAACCCAGAGCCTGCAGCCGCGTCGCGGTGTTTCTGGCTCCGTTGGCCGGCCGAAGTGGCCTACGCCAGCGACCCGTCGGGGTTCGTCCTCTCCAGTACCTAGTCATAGTCTTGACGTTGACTCACCGTTCCATACGAATGCACGGGTCTCGATTATACTGGCAGGCTGTAGAGTTTCCACTTCGATTTACCAGAGCGGTAAAACATGGGGAATTGCATGAAAAGCTTCGAAATCTTCGAAGGCACCACCGAGCAAACCATAACAAACGACATCATCCGGGAAGCCGACAGGACACTTGATAGATCTTGAATGATCTTGTCTCTTACATCATCTATCGCACACAAATGGAAGATGCCAAGTCTTCCATATCCATTTCTTTCCTCAGTTGCCTTTTAACCCTCCTTCAAGAACGTGTCCGACTCGGGGTCGTACACGTTCGTCGCGCCTTCCACCCGCCACGTGACGCGCGTTCCTCCTCGGCCTCTCGAGGTACTGGGTCTTCGCCGGCCACACCACGGTCCGCGGACCTTGTGCCACGCGGTGGAACGAGGTCGAGCACGGTCGAGCCGGAAAGGCACGGTCGACCTCAGTGCCGATGACTGGCATACAGCATTAATGAGGTGAGGTCAAGGACCAGTGTCTTGTTTGTACTGATTACCTGGACCTGTGTTTGGAGAGGATTGCGAATATCAAATGAATGACACCAAAGATGATACTGTCCACTGGAGGACCAAATGCACCGAATCGATGTGGAAGAAATGGATGATGAAAAGTACAGCATTATACGGCATCGATTCTTTGTGATTTTTTGAACTGGCCACCAGCTGTTTTTAGGTCTTTGTTTTCTCCTTGCGAACACAAAAGAGGACTAAACAAAGTTAGCAGTCAATTGGACCGTCAAGACTCTCAAGACTCACACCTTTGCTGGGTCCGCAGAGACTTCAGGGTCTCGTGGTTTGTTTTCACTTGTATAGTAGAAATGGCATACATGGCTATCAATGGAGAATCCACGTATTCTACCCAGTTGCGGGCCTCCCCTAATGAGTGTAATTAGGTCTTGACCACCTGGCCAAGGCTTCGTTGAGCACGAGCCTTTGCCAGGAGGGATGGGATTTGGGCTGGAGATGGCTGGAGAGACACAGAGAGAGTGCCAGATCTGGCCGCTACAGGTGATTCCGGGAGTCCGCGGCCAGTCTCGAATTCCTACATCATTGATCAGGTGATATCATGTGATATCGTCAACCCATTCTAGCGATATTGGTTGAATTTGCTTGGGCTGATATGATTTTCACTGGAGGGTGTGTGCCTTAGCTGATATGATACACCCCCAAAAATACAGTGCAACCTAGTGTAAGATAGTCTTAAGTAGCCAACAACAGGACATGGACACACTGGACTCTTTGGACAGCACACTTTTGCTGCAACAAACTCGGATTTCGAGTGTCAAGAAACGACCGGATGAGAGATTGGAACCCTGACAGCTTACATGGGAGTTGCAGTTGATGACCTGCGGCATGATTGAAACATCTGACCATTAAGGCCTTAAGGCCTGTGGGGGAAACTCCCTGCGGATGTGACTCCGCAGGAGCAAGTCTGGAGCTTTCCGGTGGGCTTGAACTTCCGGCTCCTCCTCAAGGGTTTGCAGCTCCGCTCCACAGTCACTGGGTCGCCCCCGTGACCGTGCGAGCGAATGCGGGATGGACCGGGACCGGGCATGGGATGATGAGGCACCAACAAAAAGAGTTTCTTCGGAATCTATTCCTTTTGCGTTCGGCATCCAGTCGTACCTTCTCCTCAGAAGGTACGACTGGACCCTCCAAACCGACATCACGGTGTCTCCAATCTCCATCTGAGAAGGTACGACTGGATCCCTACGGCCTCATTCCTTACTCAGTCAGAAAGATGACAAGTTACTACTGGCGTGGCGTTTTCTACACCGAGCCTGACGCCTGGGTCCCCTTTTCGGGGAGTTGGGCTGCTGGTGACGCCTGGTGAAACTCACCACCTTGGTGACACCGGGGTTGGTCTGACATGGTCGGGGACGTACTGCTGCAACGACCCATGTCGCTCAGGACAAGCTGCGGATCATCAATGCCACAGGCCTGATGACCAGAGTGAGCAGAGGGTTGGATTGAAACTGGACTATACCTAATTACAGAGGTTGAGTGACCTTATAGGACCCTAATTACAAGGGTACCTATAGGATAGTCTATAGGGTTCTTCAACCTCTGCTGGTATGGTGGCGATATGAAGAGTGGGAGAAGAACAGATACGTCGATGTTCGCAGAATGTTTGATCGAGGAATGAATTTCTTCGTTTCCCGGCCCCCATCTGGATTGTATTGTAGAGCCGGGTGATTCTGCCTGTTCATTGTTTTGGCCAGTGCTTTGACCCACGCACTCGCCACATGATGGTGAACATCGGATGATGGACACGAACTCGCGGGCGATGTCTCGGCTCGTGTGTTTGGCAATGCGGATCTCGGCCGATCTCGGCTCAAGACAGAAGCATCCATAGCCAGTTCCATAGCCAGTTCGGTCATTCTGTCATTGATGAGGTTCATATCAATGGTGGTGACAAAGGCTGCCGGAACAGCGAGCTGAGCTTTACATGCCTTCTAGAACTGTTGATTCTTTTCAGGTCGGTGGTCAAAACAATGTACGGATTGAACATAAATATGACCTTTCCTTGGCCAGACCCAGCTCCGACAATTAGATGGAAAGAGGCAGAGAACTACGGCAGCGCAGGTGGTGAAAGCAAATCACATGACTTCGCTGAGCTGCTTAACCTAACTCGACTTCTTTACGGCTTTGCTTCTAGGCATCCTGGGGTCCAGGCATCCTTTACGGCCGCGATGAATGGATATCATCCCGAAGAGAGGCTCATAGATTCCGCCTCACTGGGGGAAGAATGGGTAGATGCAGCTTGGATGCAAAAGGCATTGTTGAAGTTGAAACTTTTGCGAGTTTTTCCCGCCCAAACACTCCACCTTGGCATAATTATCATATGTTCCATATATGAAAGCATGTCCATGAGCTTCTAACTTCTCACACATGTTGTGTTTATGTCGTTTTGGAGTCGATGGGATTTGCCTTTTTTGTGGGCCTACAAAGGATGACATCTCTCAACATCCCACTCCCATCCTCCCCGCCAATCGCTAAAAGAACCCTGAAGTTTAATTTGCATATTTGCATAGATGCGCATACTGTTTCCCCACCTGCACCACACACAGCTCCTAGACACTTGATCTTTGATAGAATCAACACCCCAAAGTCCCCCGCTGATCGTGGCAGCCCGCCAGAACAGAACCCCAACTCAAAAAAGCCTCGGACCACCCCAGCTTCTCCATCTCTTTCGCCCCCAATCAGCTTCTGGTTCGAACCCCAACCCCCCCCCAAAAAAATATTAATATATATATATATGTATATAAAATCGCCCCCTACTCAGCTTCTGGGTTCCGCCCCTACTCCGCCCCAAAATATATGCCGCCAACGCCCGCAGCTCGCTCATATCGCCAGCTAGCTCGCTCTACGCCGCGGCCCCTCAGTTGAGCTTCGCCATCGGCAAGACACCGATCCTGAAGCGGGTCACGGGCATCGCCTCACCCGGACGTCTGACGGGCGTCATGGGACCGTCGGGCAGCGGAAAGACCACGTGGCGTGGGCCGCACACCGTTTGGTGGTCCGTTGGGCGTGAAGAAACCGGTCGACCGGGGAGTGACTCAAGTGACGTGAGCGGGAAGTGGGTGGGAAGTGGGGTGGTGGGGTGGAAGGACGGGTGGAAGGAGAAGGGGGGAGAGACGGTTTGAAGCTTGGTGAGGTTGCATGTTTTTTGGCGAGGACTGGTGGAGAGTATGTGCTGTAATTAATCCATCCTATTCATTCAAGCTCCAAAACGATCCAAAACGGTATATTGAGTGAAAAATCATACTTTGTTTGGTTTAATCCGGCCCACTTTTCTCCTATTCACTCTCCATTGTTTTACAATCCGGCCCAATGTTTTTCGATCAGAGTGCAGGACCATCCAAGGGGTGTTCAAAGGACTACACTGAATTGGAATCTCCAGCCAGGACACTCGAAGAACCACCTATCAGCCAAGGAGCGTTTGGGAAAGTTTGGGTTAGAAAAGCGAATAGATATAGCATCTAATAGAGCCCCGGAATCGAAGATCATCGAAGTAGGACTGTTGGCGGAGACTCAAGACATGTCAAGACTTAAGTGTAGTTTGAGCATCATATAGGTACAAATCACAAACCAGGCTGGAACATGCAAGCTTCAGCAGCACCCTTCCAAAAGAAAACACCAACTGGCCAGATTGGCTGGCTCCTGCGACTCCGGGGGGGTGAAACCCCCACGCCGAGGTTGCTGAATGTGCTTTCCGGAAGACAACGGACCAGCGGATATTCCAGGTCGGGTCACCGGTGCTTGGGGCCCGGTGGAACAGCTCGTTCTCGTTCCAGGTTTCTGGATCCACTCAGCTCAGCACGGTGTTTGGTTTAAGCTCTAAGAGCTGGAGGATGAAGACGGTTCTTCAAACCGTTCCATTTTGGGCCACAGCAGCTATTGCAAGAAGTGTTGGTTACACATGGTTGGAGTGTTGGTTGAAGTGGTTGACTCTTTCTCTCAAGGGAGACTGACCCCCGAAACGAGTTCGACCTCCTCTTAAGCTTCGGAAGATGGACAAAACAAAAACCGCAATCATGCAGGGGGTCTCCCTATCGAGAGAAACACATCCACATTGGCTTGGAGCACCGCACCGTGGACCGTGCCGACGCTTCGACGTCGTGTTTTCGGTTCCGACTCGACCTTCGAAGCACGAGCCGCTCTTCGTTCGGTCTCGGTCTCTGACCGAACGAGGAGCCGCCGCGGGTGGGGAGCCGCCACGATGGCGATGGGACCCTGTCGGTATCCTTGGGTGATCCTGGGTGCCCAGATCTTGGAATACTACACTCAGTAGTGGTGGGTCATGGTAGTAGCAACAGTGGCAGTGGCGGTAGGGCGCTAGTCGTAGCAGCTCTAAGTCGTAGTAGCAATTCAAGCAGCTTTATAGTAACCCCAAGCTTCCAACAACCCCCGCGGGTGGAGCCTATAAAATGCGAAGGATTTTCCTCTCTAAAATGCCTTGTTGATCCTCATTTTATAAAGAATGCTTGGGGAATTGCTTTGTTTTAAGCCTGGTTACCCCATTACACAGAGAGGAATGCATGCTTGATGGATGTTCCAGAAGGGTTAAGGTACAAGCCTGGGATACATTTTACAGACGTACATTTTTGTCGCGGACATGTCCAAAATCAATGGGTTATTGAAACCTGGATTCTACATGTTATAGATAATCTGCGTGTCTGTAAAGGCCCACCACCTACGCGGGATCTTCCAACCACCTTTGACCTCTTACTCTAACTGAACCAATGCACTTGACCGAGGCTTCTACCAGGTGCTTCAACAGTCTCTTGGTTCGGGCTCGTGTTCCGCAGGACAGGTTCCAACAAGCAGGAGGTGAACTTCTCGGGGGAGGTCTTCGCGCGTGGCCGTCCGGTCAAGACCTCCTTCTTCCGAGGGAAGACGGCCTTCGTCTTCCAGGACGGGGTGGCTTTTTGGGGACCCAACGCGACCAGTTTGGCACGTGGGAGAATTAATCGAATGCATGGATGTCAAAGCCAGAAATTGAAGGAATGTTGATGTGGATGACATGTGTTTTCGTGTGGGGATGGCGGCCAGTTGAAATTCATTGAGGGCACCGGCGGACCATAAGATCCATAAGTCCGGCCACGAATTGAAATATGATGATCCATTGCTTTCAGATCTTTCAGCTGTCCCTTTGCAGGACAAGCGTTAGTTGATACTCTAAGTGACTATATGGAGGGCCCGACACCGAAGATCCTGCTGAAACAGCTGTGTTCGGTTGTATAACTCAACAAGTGTTTTGATCCCATTTGGATCCTCACCTGTGGCACTTTTCAGGACAGGCATATCTGCTTCCAGTCGTGTGACCGGGTGCTAATCAAGACAAAAAGCACCTTATGGGATACCTTCCCTATGGATCCAGTCGTACCTTCTCAGAAGGTGATTGGAGACACTGTTATGTAGGTTTGGAGGGTCTAAGTAGCTTCTAAGAAGGTACTTGGATCCCTAGGGCTTGGGTATCCTTAGGTGTTTTTCTCACCTCCGCAAGAACAGTAACCACGACTGCAGCTGACTCAGTCAGTCTTGCAGCCTGCAGCTGACTCAGTCAGGCTCCCTACTTTGGTGTGTAGGGGACACTTGAGTCCAGGTTATATAGATGAACTCGACTTAAAGCACCTCAGAGTATGGGGCTTAAGTGTTCAATCTACTCCAAGTAAGTCTTCGGACTCCTTCGTTTCTTCTGTTCTGACATCCCACGTCCGAGCTGACAGCCTCAAAACTCGCGTCTCCAGCCCTGCTTTCATTTGCTTTCAGGACAATGCGCTCATGGATAGCGATACCCCCCGAGAGGCTCTTCAATTCTCCGCAGCTTGGGCGCAGTGGAGCCGATCTGCGGATCGACCCGGGCAGGACCCGTATGGTCACACGCTCGCTCGGCGGATGGGCCGGTGCCGGCGTATGGTGGAACGGTTCGACGGTTTTTTCGCGGGATGCCGGCACCTCGGTCCGACCGAGGTGCAGGGCTTTGAAATCCTGTTGAAATTTGCGAGGGGGTATGATGGGAAAACACCTCGCACACCCGCAAAAATCTGACATGGGCAACAGGGGTGGAACCTCCAATTCGGCGATGGGCTGTCCAGTGTGCCACGTGCGCGCATGTTTGATTGGCCGAAGAGAGAAACCCTCTTGAAACTGAGAAAGGGTCACACCATGTTGGAGCGCCTTTATTTAGATACGCCTTGATTCTAAGTCGAAACGCTTTCATGTTTGGGTCTCATTTCGATCTCGCTTTCTTAGCTGTTCAATCAACATACTCAAAATCAGTTTTCCCTGACATGAAGCCCTGCCTTTCGCACCCCTTCTCGCGTTCTTCGTTTTGATAGGCCTATCTTCGCCTGTCGCGGAAAGTCTCAAAGTCCAAGCGAGATGATCTGGTGGAAAAGTTGCTGGATGATCTGCACTTGCAGGAGATCTCCACACCGAGACCGATATTCCATCGATCTCCATCCAAAACCTTACCGAAGATGGTGAGCGAAAACCCTCTTGGGAGGAGAGAAAAGAGCAGTCTCTACTCTTCTGTTTGTACTTGAAGAAAGAAATTTGTACATTTATACAATATTGGGTGTTGTTTGTACAAATGGTTCTGATATCATCTAATATCTAAGGAATTCTAAGGATGATTCATACAGAATATGATAATAACATTATTCACAGAACGGTTCTTGCACAACTGTTCACAGAATGGTTGACCTTCAAGACCACTAGTAAGACCCAAATGGCTCCGGACCATCGGATTGCATCATGTTGCATCTAAGTTTCTGGTGTTAGCACATATTCCAAGAGACCATAAAGGAATACAATCCTGCATGATGGAGATACCAAGGAAGCCGGATCTCTTGAGAAGTCTATGCAGTCTTTGCTCTCCTTTCTTCTCTGGTCCACAAGGTCCGAGGTCGGCGCCACCGTGCTGAACTGTGCCACCCAGGCATTGACTTGCCATTTGATAGGAAGTTTGACCGTATTTGTTGGTGGTTGATGATCAAAAATAGAGGTCACGCTCGATCTCAAGACTTGTAATACCCAGACACTCCATGGGACTGGCATATATATATATATATAATTACTGTATATATTCCTTTAGTGACCCCTTTCAACCACCATATGTCATACAAATGACGTTAAAATACATTAAACGCATATTCACATATTTCCCATACACAGAGTGTCAACCAGGCCCACTGGGTAAAAAAAAAACAGGAGCCTAAGTGCTATAAGTACAAAACCAGCCTCCAATCCCAGGGATCGGATTTGCATGGAAGTTCATGGACTTCTCCTACAGCCTTGGACCTTTCGTTGTTTGGATTCCGTCAGATTCCTGCCGGATCCAGGACTCCTCGAACGTTATCACTGGCGGACCTTTGCGGAAGGGTCTCTCCGGTGGTCAACAGAAGCGGGTGGCCGTTGGTGTGGAGCCCCTCGGTGGGTGAAGTCACGACCGACGGGGGGAGCGGCCGTGGAGGCGAGAGGTGCGGTCGAGCTGGGAGAGCTGGACGGAAAGGACTCAGGGACAGTGGAAAGGACTCTGACTCTGGGAGTTTGATTTGTGGTTTCTTTGTTGAGGTCAGAGGTGAGACCGGAATTCCGTATTTTGAGAGCTGAGAATGTACTGCCGAAGCCGATGAAGCGTGATGTGACATACTATTGACATACAATACTGTATACATCTATGCGATGTATCACGAGCAATGTGCATCCTAAAGTCACCAGAAAAAAAGATGCTGCCAGTCTGATCCAGTATACCCCTTTTTGAAGCACCGGTCTCCCTTTTTGGTGTGTGGGCCGGACCTTTGTTTCCACCCAAAAAAACCCATGAAACACCATGGTGTGTGATCTATCCCCATGAAACACCGGCCGATCCCAGGTTAATTTCAAACCCACAGATGATCTTTTTGGCCTCTCAGCTTGGTACGGCGGACTCGCGTGGCGGTTCCGCGCCGAATCGGCGGTGGCGCCTTCGCGTGGCGGTTCCGGTCTCGACGTGGACCTGGAAACGGCCGGTCGGGAGGGGGGTTCGAACGGCGGGAGAGCGAAGGAGCGAAGCTGGTTCCGTTGTCCGTTGTTTTTTTTTTTTTTTTCGTTGGTGGAATGGTTGCTCCGTTGGTGCCCGGCTGAAAGAGTCTGAAAGGTCGAGAAACATGTTTTCATTTGGAAGTGAGACCGTGTGAGACCTTCTGCTGAGTGATTACTCTCCAACTAATTTGGTTGCCACCATTGTCGAAGTCATGATCTACAGTCATTCTCAAGTTATATATATATATAATATGTATTAATATGTATATCAGTAAATACAAAGAATCATTGTCATTGTACGCCTATATAAGTATGCACTAGAGACAAGTTCTGAGAATAGTTACGCTATATTCAGTCTAAGGATCTGTGTAGATGGAATGCATGGGAAGTGCAAATGAGCTAAATAAGCTTGCAACGTGCGCTTGCAATGGGGGTTTCAGTGCTATGTATTGGACCTGTTCACTCAGGATGAGCCAATCAGCGGATTGGATTCATACAACGCTTTCACTCTGATGCGCCTTGGATGAACTATAACGCCCCAATCCTAAGGCGAAGGGTGGATGTTTTGGGGGGTTGATTTCTCAACTGTTCAACTTCTAACATCAATGGTTGATTTCATAACATCAACAGTTCATCCTCGAAAGTAGACTGTTGATGATACTTCAACGCCCATTTTTGAGTGCCCGACAGAGCAGTCTCAGAAGCACGTAAGCAGGGTGACACGGGGCCCCAACTCATCGGTGTCCATTTGCGGGTAATATGATGTAATATGCAATATTGTCCGCCACTCATATTGTCCGAGCGTTTCTAATCCAAATGGAGCGGGTGGATGAACCTCCACAGCCAAAGCTGGGCGTCGCGACGAAAGAAACTGGTTTGGGACCGGCATATCTCACACTCCAGGCCTCCGTATGGAATATTGATGAAATAGCCGATCAGTTGGGGTAGTTTGGGGGGGTCCATGGCATATGATCCAGTCCCATGGAGTTGGAAGTACTGTATATAGTAGAGTAGAATGTAGTAGACATTAGTTGGTGAGGTTTTTCATTGATAAAACCCATCCCTGTCTCGGTGTTTTGTGTTGTTAAATCAACAGTCTACATTGTCTATACATCATTGTCCAACAAAGATTCCTCAAGCATCCGACACGTAGATAATTATAAGCACGACATAACAAAATGAATAGTTTATATTGGCACTTGGAAAGAATGTATTTGCTTGTTCTGTGGAAACAAAGGGACATCATTGTCTTGGTTTTGCTTAGACAGGGGATACCGTTCTTTGCTTTTTCTACGGGTAAATCAAATCCCATGGGGAATAGGTGTAGCAACATCTAAGTTTTGATGTGTCTTAAGGAACGCGTTCGGGTTCGGCCCGCGCACCTCAGAAGTCGCATCTCTCAGATAGGTGTCGCACCCAAGAATGGCGCTCCGAGTATCTCCAAGTTCCTCCCTTTTGGTATGGCCAAAGCCCTGCTTTGGCTGGGTGCTTTTGGATCTCACATCCAGAGCATCACTAAATCACTAGGCCTTTGCTAGAGGTGAAGCGAGGCATCCTGGTGTTGATCCACTCGTTGATCCACCCAATCTCATCATTCACTCCACCGGACATGCTCGACGCAACGCGAGTTCGGACGCGTTCGGTCTCTTCCATCAGGCAATCTCTCAACAAGCTCTCACGCACCGGTGTACCTGTTGCCCCTTGGACGCCAGAAACTGGCCGTTGAAACTGGTGGCCAGAAACTGGCCAAACCCCATCCCAGATCCTCGGCTGTTGATCGATAAGAGGGACCCTGTGAGCAAGTAAGGTCTGGATGACACCCCAGCGACCTGGGGGATCATTTGCTTCGCTTTGCAAGGTTATTGAACTCCGAAACTTGAGGAGTTTGAACTCTGAAACTTGAACTGTGTTGTTCTTTGCCGTTTTCCAAGACCCACCGAGCGAGACTCCATGCTCCCGTGTCTCGCTGCCGTGTCGCCGCCGTGTCGAGTCGAAGCGAAGCTCGGGACCAGCCGAGGTCTTGACGATTCATCAGCCGAGCTCTGAGATTTATGACCTCATTGACGACGTCATTTTTCTGCGTCTTGGTGGACCGAAGTCTGCCCACATCGAAGAGGCGAGACGCCACGTGAGGTGGTCTGCCTGGGAGGTAGAACACAGGTTGGATGTGAGCTGGTCTACGGGGCGCTGCGATGATTCTTGGGATGTGATGTCAAGGCCCAAAATCCGGATTCGCGGCATCCCATCGGCCCATTCGCCCATCGAAGGCTCGTGTTTTGGTCTACAGCGACTCTATGGGTGAAACGAATCATTCTCAGGTGGTCACAGGCACTATGGCCCACTGTAACGGGCGGATAGAGTGGGTTGATATGGGTTGTAGATGATGGGGTGATGGGGCTGTGTGTTTTATTATGGTTTATTGTGTTATTTTTTTGCTGGGTGAGTTTGTACCTTTTATGATACGGCTTCAGGTAATGCAGTTTTGAAGCATGACTGATACTGACCGACATGGAAAAGCGCAGGTACTCAGAGTTTGGTCTTCACAACATCATCTTTCGCTCAAGCAGAACGACAGCCGTCGGCCCGGGGATTCGATTGGATTCCCGACTGCCCGACTACCCTGCGGGCCCTACATGGTCCAGGGAGCTGGATGGTTTTTTTTCCAGAAGAGTCAGAGTAGTGCACTTCACGCCTTTCAAACCCAAGTGCCATGAGGGCGCGGGCGACGGGTGATATAAAATGTCACGAAAGGTAGCTTGAGCTACCTGAGTTCTCCTTGCTTTAGCAAAACTGTATTACAATCAGGAGTTGGGATTGTGCATTGAGTTTGGTCCTGTAAGAGTTGATTCTGTTCGTCGGGGGGGGGGGGGCCCCCTGGATCAAATCCCCCCTGCGCCGGTTCACGCCGTCATGGACTTATACCAGGGTTACTTGTGATTGCCTGCTACCTTTCGTTCACCCCCTCCTCTCTCAAGTTGATCGATGGTATGTAATTTGTATGTTAATGTTGATATGTTCTTATATACCATGAACAGGCTCTTTTGACACAGCCTCAGGCACCCCCCCCTCTCCTTGTTTCGGGAGCTCGTGTAGCGCTTGAAGTCTCAGGTGTAAAGGAGATGTCATTTACCAGGGCCCGCGCTGGGGGCTCTTCAGCCACTTTGAACAGCTCCTTGGTTGAATAAAGTTGGGGGAGTGGACTCAGGGTGTGGCACATCCAGATATTGAGAGAAGCTCGTTGGGCTTTGGTGTGGATGGCCTACCCCAGAAAAGACTACAGAAGCGTGCGTCATTCCAAAAACGCATATACTTAGTTGCCTATGAATGCTACCTCTTTCAATTCGACAAACAACGACGCCATGGCTGTACCTTGCAGGAGTTGGATTTTTTGACGTGCCCACAAAGAGCATGAGCATGTTGTTGGCCACAGTTGATGGGTGGAGCGATGAGTATCTAGAATCTAGATATTTTTCCACACAAAGTCCATGTTGGAAGCTCAGTGTACATGAGTCGCTGTTGACCCACATAAGTGCAAAGGAGTGTGTTGATCGCATGCTGTACAATTTTCCGCTGATTGTGCCTGACTCTAGTCTAAGCATCATCCGGGTATTCCTAAAGGTTTGTCGCGCAGATGCTGCAAGTGATTCTAGATTCTAGAGTAGCTGTAGCAACCCTCAACCTTGCGTGTAGGTCACGTTGCAAGATGCCAGTCACTATACTATTTGATACCAATATAGTTCCAACACACTGCACACCAGGCACGTTAACTAGGCATGGTTTTAGGACCGGCCGCACAAGATGCGCAAAAGATATCTAATCTCCGCGAAGATTGGCCTCTCCATCGTAAAAGAACACTGATCAACCACCATTTATTTGGATTGTACATGCATATGTCAGCCATGCACACATGAAACAAGTCAACATATTCTGAGAAGGACATTGTTAAGCTGTGGCCGCAAAATGTCTTTGGGAACCTGAGCAGCGAATAATACTAAATTCCCAGTGTAAAATGAGACTAAAAGGACCCACGAGCGCGTGGTGAAGATGACGCCCCTGTGGTCCCGGCAAAGCCTCTGTGTATTGGAAAATACCCAATGATTTGGCAGTGGTTTGTGGAACTGACCATTATTATATAACAATCGTAACTGTGATTACCTCGAACATATTCTGGGTAAGTGGTCAGTAAGTAGCCAAGTAAATGTTGGAACTTACCCTAGTTGCGCGGTGCATTCGAATTACTTACGTAGACCTGGCTTCTACTTACTACTTAGGCTCTACCTAGTGTCTACTTACAACCTACTTATTAAACCTTTTAAAGAAACGCGGGCACACACCATGTTTCCGAATTTCTGTACTTGGTTTTTCATTTCACCGTTTCTCTTGGGTCTTCTTCTTCAGCGGCGCACCGGCTCATGTCTTCTCTCTTAACAGTGTGCTGTTCTTTTTCCGTGGCACTTTTCTTCATGTGTTCACTGCTTTCCTTTGGTATTTCTTCAGCGGTGCTCCTTCCTGCTCATGTAAACAATTGAACCGTTTTGACATTAAGTATAATATATACCTATATATATAAATCATGGAAGTTGGCTACCTGACATTTTTGTATAGCGTTTCTCACTTTGGGTTAGTCTATCTCCCATATATATATATATATTCCGTGTCACGCGCAAGCACACACACAGCAGGTAACCCAGGCAACTCAGTATTTGTATGGATACATTTGGCCGGCAAAGTGAGCCGCTGGTGCAACAACAAGCTTCACCTGTTTTATCACTTTTGGGTGCCGTGGTGGATGGGTATGTTTACATTGATGCCATTAGCCCTCACACCGCCTCAAATGCAGGAACCGTGACGGTAAATTAAACTTGTTTCAGGTTTTGATTCCCGCTCATGGTCTTTGGGCAAACATGAGCAAACTAATGATCCTTGTTCATGTTGTTGCTCGAACTTTTCAAGCACAAACTATGTTCCAAAAAGATCCGCCGGATCCACAAGTCGTCGGTGTCGAGGTTGGGGTTCCGCTGCCCAGCGAACCACAATCCAGCTGACTTCGTGATGTTCCTTATCCACAAGGCAACACAGGGAGGGGCGGCTTCTTCGCGTTTTGGTCTGACCCTGACAGGGGATTCACGCACCAAAATGTGTAGAATGTATCGACCATGTTTTTTCGTGAGACTAGAGTAGGACAAGTATTTGTGGTTTCCTCCATGTGGCCTTAGATGCGTGCAACATCTGAATGTGTTTTATTGAAAAGCACAACAGATTGGACCCATGAAGCAAAACAACAGCAACAACAACAACAGCAGCAACAACAACAACTGGCGTCGTCAATGCTTATCTCAAACAATCTATGTACGCAATATGTGCTGGCATTAGGGTGGATTTTAAGATGTTTTAGTGGCTAACTAAGGTATTTTGTTGGGATACAGAGAATGCCATGATTCATCTTCAGGTTTCATCTACCTGAACGGAACTGCCTTCTTCTCTTGCGCTGATGGGTGCATGAGCATCCGCAGATTCACCATCATTCATCCAGACTCATGGTTTTCACCAGCGACCGGTGAAACCGGACCTCGTTTTCCCGGCTGGACGAGTTCACTCATCCCCTCAGCTGGGGCATTCCAGCCGTCGCACTGAACACCCGTTGACCCTACCAGCTGGGGCCACCGTGGAAGAGACCGGTTTTGGGGGGAGAGCCCCAGTGGTTGGATAGGCCGTTGGCCATGGCCGCCATGGCTTTCAGAGTTTTAGCCCCTAGTTACAGACTGAAGAGATCACTGATTTGTCCTAACTATTCATCTCGTCGTTTGTGTCATGTCAATTCCCTACAAGTCCAGTCTGACCCATATCCTGTATTTTTGCCTCCCGGGATAGTATGGGTGTTCTATGACCATGTCCAGTATAATGAGGTCAAACTGACTTGGATTGATTTCTGCAGCTGGCAGACTTTGCTATGTCACTAGACTCGCCTTCATGCCCAGAATTGGCCCACCGACGTCGGCAGGAAGATGACGAGGTGTTGGATCAACTCATCGGCCGCCTGGGTAGAAGAGGGGCAGAGGCACTTCTTTTTCGCTCGTAATAAGGTCTCAAGAGAGGAAAGGAAACCAGACGTACTTGGACATGCTTCCAGACGGGCAGGTCGGATGGGCAGGTCGGATCTGGTTGGAGCTTCTGTGTTTTATGGCCACCAAAAGACGGCCACGGAAGCATCTCAGCACGTGATGTCACCAGGGGTCATCAGCAGTCCTCTGGTCTTCATGGGCACCTAGCTCATAGCACCAGAGCGGTCTAGAATATGTAGTGGTTCGCTCCAGAGAAGTACTTATAGCTTGATGGTTGTGATCCAGAAACCAGAACCGGGGAGATACACTCTTTCAACCGGAGAGATTCAGACAGATTCCAGATGAGCCGAGTGAATGCATGTTCATGGCTCAGATCGTTTCAGGCCGATCAGTCTTTTGTTGCATTCCGTTCGGACCATGGAGGGCCATGGTATGTAGTATGGAGTGGCCGCTCCATGTTCCTTTCACAGCTGAACAATTAATCCTGGATCACTACCCTTGGGTGGTGATCTCCTGCTTCACTCGCACATGGAAAAAGAGTGGACCTCCTTCCGATGTCGATCCTTCTGATGTCCAGAAGAGGGACCCCACAGAGGCAGGAGGCTGTTGTGCTTTTAGAGGATGAGCAGCTGAGCAGTCTTGCCACCAACCATCCACGCATCACAATATACAGTAATAAGTTAGGGACCACCAAAGGGGAGAAACATGCAGAACAGATATAAAAAAACATGTAATATATATATATATGTCTTTCCGTATGTCTTTCCGTACATCTGTGGGTTTTCCAGCCTGGATCTGTCTTTCTCACTTCCCAAGGCAATTGGCGTACCAGCACTGCTTGCAAGCAGCTGACGACACGGATCATGCACGCAGGAGATGGACGTTGAACAGTAGAGAACGACGTTGATCCCAGACACTCCATCGCACTGGAACAAAACAATGTATACATGTAAATAGTCATGTAAATATCTTATATATATACAGTATATACATATTACATATTTGCTTGGCCACTTGTGGACTGTTTCGTCGCATCCCACCGCGAAATACATCTGGGGAACAGGGATGAACTCGTGTCCTGGTGCCCCAAACTGGGCACAAAGGATTGATCAATTTCCACCCTTTGCTATACCGGCGAAGCCTAAGAATGGTGTCAGGCTCCCGCAAAGCTGAGCTGGCTTTGATAGCCTTATAATATAGCAACCTCCAAGAGGGCAAGGAACACATGTAAATGTGGTAAATGTGTTTATAGATATATATATATTATATCCAGCCCAACCATTTATTTATTTGTTGTCTACCACTTTTCGAAGCATTTGGGGCTGATAGGAACACAGATGCACCGATCGGATGCACCAGGAGACCACTTCAACCCAGAAGCTGCTCGCGCAGCATCGCGCATTTTGACCTCGGACTCTGACTCATCCGATGACGAGGCCATCCGATGGGTGCCATGTGTGGTAGAAAGATGTGTCACATGATTGCAGCCATAGAGTTACTGCATGTTGCTACTGGCAACAGTAATTATCGGCCTTTCTTGAACGATGCAATCAAGATGGGGGGTGCGCTAATTAAGTATTATTCCAGGTACCCCCGTGAGTTACTGGAATAATTTGTTGGTAATAAATAATCTGTTGTAATATGTGTTTGGAAGATGTATATGTCGATCTTGAATATTTGTCACATAGGTTTCCTACCAACAAGCTAAAATCATTGTCAAGGGTTTCAGCGGTGTTTTATAGATCCAAGTTTGGTCTCTTCAAAGCAGCAGACCTGGACAATGGAGGCTGTCACAAGAGCATTGCGAAGCCCAAAGAGAAACCTCAGGATGCCCCTCCTCAATGTTTCAGAGAGAGAAGCCAACTCCACCTTGGCCTCTCCATGTGGATGAGTTCAAGGGGTCTGGACGGGGAGGTACCTAACGTACCCACCATCAATCAAGAAGTCCAGAATCTGCCTGGCCTGGTTTGCCAGGTTTATCAGAGCCTTTTGGTTTGGCTTCACTGAGTCGACATCACCGATACCATCCACCTTACCTGCCTTACCTCAATTCCAGACACTTCATCTATACATTGACCCACTCCACTCCCCCATTTTCTGAATATACCAGTCCCACCAGCCACCAGCCCAGCCTAGCCTCAGTGAGCCGAGCAAGGTACTTGACACGCCGCTGTTTTTTTTTTTCCATCCACGACGAGAAGATATGGGAAGTATTTGGTCACACCCTGCACATGTTGCTTAAAATATCTTAAAATTGACACGCGTTCGAACATAGCTTCGCGAATACATTCCTTGTAAGTTATTGCATGTTAAATCTTCATACACCGACAATATGACTCAGTATGACTTCATATTATGGTTCTTTGTTTCTCAGTTGCGAAAACCTCCAGCCGTTGCCCTGTCCCCAGCCCTGGGCCTGTCCCCTTCATTGTTACGTCATCACAGGATAGCAGCTCCGGGGATGAGGAGGTTCCCAAGGTCATGCGCGGGGCGGGCTGATGGGGGCTGGCTGGATTTGGGCTTGGCCTGCAGGCGGAATAGACGCATGCAAAACATCTTCGAGATTCTGAAATGATTGATCGATTGCTCGTTGAATTCGTTGAATTGGCAATAAGCCTACAGAATCAGGGCCATCCATCTCTGACCCTTGGCATGAAACATTGTCACCATGTCACGTCCATTCTCAGCCATTTCTAGGTCTGGATTTCAGACCGGGAGGGGCTCCAAGGCCTGAAATCTCGTGGCACAACAGTTTGTTGGCGGTTGTTAGACTCCAGGGTTAGACCCTCAGAAGGCGTGTTTCCTGGGCCAACATGTTTGCTTGGACTATCTTGGGCTCAAACGTGAGTGCGAACCCACGACCTGCTTCCCTCCATGCCGTTGCTTTGGAACGGTCGGGGTCCAGAGGTCCCCCGAAGATGTGAACAACCCGGAGTTGCCACTGTTTTCGGAGAATGGACTTATTGTCAGCTTTGGCAGATCGGTTGGTCACCACATGCACAGGTTTGTGTGTGTGACTAAATATAGAAAACATATCCCAAATGTTCATGATGTTCCATGTAGTTAGAAAACAAATATATAAACTACATTCACCACCCAAATGTAGGACTATTTGTCTACATGGGGCGTTTGGGTACATAGAATAGGAATAACAATCGATGATAATCTATGTAGATGGTGTTGAATTGATGTTCATTCTATCTTGCTGTATGTTCAACGAAAGAACGTGCACCTTTTTCATGTGTTACTGACCCTGAAAGGTCCGAATCTTCTCATCTAGATGTGGTGGACTCTCAGGTGGAGTAAGTTCATGAGTCAAAACAGAGGGCTTCCCAGGTGGACCGCCCTCTCTGAGAGCCCCAGTTCCTGAGAACTGCCTTCGCTCTGACAACATGCCTGCAGGTGTTTGGTCAGCCCAGGAGAATGCGGTCGCAAGTCACTTGGTTCCGGGGATTGGAATCGATTTGTCATGTTTGGAAATTGGTGAGTCAGTGTTATACTAATTTAGCGGATGAACATATTTGTGGGATGGTGATAATCACCAACCAGATCAAGGAGTGCCACCACAAAAATTATGGATTGGAAGTTCCCCGCCAATGGCAGTGCCTATGGCCTATTGTCAGATTTGGTCCATGTGTCAATTGAATTCAGCCTTGTCTATGGTATTACGTAGTACCGGATGGCCGCGCATGTGAGAATGAGTAGCATGGTAGATAGATATATTCTTCCTCGGGAAGACTGTTGTTCCCATATTATTGGTTTGCTTGTCGGTGTACTTGAACTTCGAGGTGGTTTTCACCCACATCCATGTTCTCGAGTTTAGCCCTTCACCATGTTCACCTTCGCGTCCGCGGAAAAAAAACCCTTCACCACCCAAGCGGCAGGAAGAAGCGCAATTGCTGTCAAGCGCAATGGGCACTGATCCATCGGGACGCGCGGAGGATTTGGAGAGTGACTTGGGCTCTGTGGGACGGTCGAGCAGCGCTGCCAATTCGACCGGGAGAGGCGGCAATTCGAAAGGAAAGGGGGGCCGAATGTGCTAAGTGGTTTTCTTTCTTTGAAATGGTTTCAGTTGGTGATGATGCGCCAGTTGTAGCTACGGGACTTCGGCCCGGCTGTGGCCCGTGGGCCGACGTCTCGCCGAGCCTGTATCGATTGCAGGCGACCATGCATGGCAACTCGAAAAGATCCGACTCTCCAGGTGTGTATGCATGGCTCATCGTTCACATACTTACTGAGACTGTGTAGAGATTTCTTAGTTTGGTTAAGGTGATGGTGTACTTCCCTGCAGGAACATATGTTATATGTGTTTACGTGCTCCTTAAACAAATCCAAGGATTGGTCACCAACTGAGAACCCTTGGTGCAAAAGCTCCTGAGTAGACCTGTTTAAGGCTCCTGTGGCAGACTTAAGACACAGTTCGTTCAGGAGATCCTATTTGAGCTGAGATGTCTTTTTTGAGCTGAAAGGGTTAAGGGTTTGTACTATACAATGTAACCTTAAAACGTGTGGCGTAGGCAACCAAAGGGGAAGAGGTGATTTGAGTACGGCCACACTGTCCGCCATGCCATGCGTAAGGACCGTAGCCAAGTGCTTGCGGCGAACATCCAGATGCCTGGCTTAGCTAGTGCTGATTTTGACCTAACACCACAAAATTAACCGCAGATGATCGCACGACTGAGATTGCTTGGAGATGCATATACCATAGAAATAGCTCATCATGTACGGCCGTGTTTTCATCCAGGAATCTGTTGGTCTCCTTAATCTACGGATGGCTCTTCTTTGGCGCTGGCCTGCAGGAGGGGCAAGGGCAGTTGGGAAAATTTAGGCATGCGGCATGCGCCATCATGCGCCCCTCCGCATTCTCCAAATGCTTCTTGTATTCAAGTTGCTTTTCCCTGAATATAGTTGTGGCAGACGTGCAAGACTTGCAAGCATTTGATGTGGCCGATGTGGCAGATACTGCGATCATCTCCGATCATCTCAGTTGTTTGCCTCACAGGGGGCGCCATGTAGGGCCTGTAGTGTATCAGCATTCCGAAGGGTCAGACCTCTGGGAGGTGCATCAGCCGCGTTGGAGCGTATCAAACCCTAAGTCATCAGCCGTGTTTGATGTGAATTCGCTGAGAAAAATCGAGACTCTCGAGACATAAGGGTTCTTGTGGCAGCCCAGTCACCTTCATCTCAAATCAACCTGACCTATCTATAAAAGCATGAAGATGCATGAAGGAGAACTGCAGCCGATCGCAGTCCTCAAAGCAATAATATACCATGCTTATCCATGATTTACGATCAGTACATCAACAGAATCAAGGGAGAGACAACAACATGTTGTCAAGTACTTTGCACTGACTCCCTTCACTTCAACAGATTCACCATGATTCACCATGATTCACCTCTTTGTTCCGTCCCATGTCCGATGTCTTGTGGAACCGATGCGACAGTCCGTCGAATCGGCAGGAGAGTCGCGACTTGGGCTTCGCCTCGCAGTCCTTGCCCGAAGGCCGGACGGGGGAATTCCGCATGTTGACCGGGGAGGATGGCTTGGGAGGGAGTCAAATCTGGACCAAAAAGGCAGGGAGGGGAGTGGGTTTGCCTAGGTAGATTTCTTTATTGCTATATATATATATATGTATAAATATGGTTGGGATGGAGCCAGAGGAAAAATAACACCAATCAATCTCTAAACCCAACGAAGAAACAGACATGGAAGCAGCGACCAGTTCTGATGGACTCAACACCTTGGGGCATAGCACGTAGATGCACATACTGTGAATGATTTGTGTGTGTTTCCATATGTTTTCCCGTTCTTTGGGTTTGCATGGATGGTTTGCCTGCCAACTTGCCAACTGATGTCCAAGTAGGTTCAAAAAGGTTGGGTTGCACGTCGTTCCAACATGTTCCATCACAAGTGGGAAAAAAGGGATTGGATGCCAAAGGTTTTGGGGCTTTGTCCACGCATGTTCGGATCCATGCAGTGGGTCATACGATGGATGACATCCGGGGGCACTTGCATTTGGACAGC